GACTGTGGACTGTGGTTGGTCTGAAAAACAGAACTGAATAAATATTACAGGGGCCCAAGATTAACTGAGAGGCTTTGATATAAAGGGTTGGTAGTACACCTCATCCCCAAGTCCTACCACTGTCTAATAGCAGTATCTTGTTGCCACCTAAGAGATTGGAGCAGTAACTTTAGACAGCTGCTTCACACCATTACCATAAGAAAGAAGAATAACTTGACTTTATATAACAGGAATTCAGTTTCTCAATTCTGTAGTCTGGAAGGCCAAGCTTCCCATTTAGTCAGGGCCATGCTCCATCTGAAGGCCACAGAGAGGAATCTCTTCTGTGTCTCATTCCTAGATGCCACCTGTCCCTTACGTGACTTAGTTTGTAGATACACCATCCACATCTCTGCCTGCATCTTCACAGGGTGATCACCTCTTTGTGCTGCCATGTGTGAACATGACCTTCCTATAAAGAAACCAGCATTACATTTAGGGCCAGTTGCAATGCAGGATGACCTCGTCTTAACTTGATTATATCCTCTAGAACCCTAATGTCACGATGACAGGTTAGTAGATGGACATGTCTCCTTGTGGGTGATGTAGTCCATCTCATAACTCTTACTTAGTAGGTCCTTGTTTAATGATAACAATAACATGCTTCATGGGTTTTATACCTGGCCCATTAAAATTCCAACATATTTTCTATGTTATAAAACTTTTAGAGCAGTGGGCTTATGAAATTTAGATCCATTGTGTGACACTATTGTCATAAACCCATCATTTCCAAACATTAAGAGATGCCTGCACCATGATTCTGGTATTTTGTGAAGAAGTCTATGATCACTATGGTCAATAATCATTAGTGCCTGGATTCCCATATAATACCAAAGAGACTTTATTTCACAAAATATGGTGGAGAGAGATAACATGACCATGCCAGTCGCCCAGAAACTTCTCTAAGATGAGTATCAATTGGAGGATGTGTCCTCTACCTGCTTGCTGTGACAAGACGATGTACTAACTGGGTGGCTGCAGGGATAAACTTTGCTTCTTGAGGTAGTAATTGAGTTTCATCACTAATATGTCCCAAGTACCCTACTGGGGACAGAGTGGGTACCTCATAGATGCCTGTTCTATGGGACCTAGTTGGAGGAAGTTGGTTTCTGGAAGTTGTTCTTTACCCTGTCCCCTTCCTGTGTGCCTCCTGCTCTATTTCCTGCCTGCTGTGAAGTGACTGTTCAGCTCTGTTTCACATATCAACACCTCTGAAGCTGTGAGCCAGGATAAACAACCCCTCTGGGAACTTGTTTCTCTCCCATATTTGGTCACAGCAAAGATGAACAGGACTAATATGTCATTGCCTACAGAGTATAGACCTGTGCCCTCAGCATACCCTGAGTCAGGGTACCGTGCAAAGCCTGATCTAGAATCTAGAGTCTCTTCAGTCTTTTCTGTCCACAAGGATGCTGATTCCTTTATAATGAACTTATCCATTCTTCAGCACAACAAGAATTATTTTGTGTTATCTGCCATCTAATAGAGGAAGTTACATCTCATCTGTGCCCCTTTCTTAATGCCTACATTGGAGAGTAAGGGACCCTGACAACATTTTGCAGACATGGGCCTTGGTTTCTGGTCCAGATTTCCTCTTCCAGCAGCAAGGCCTTGCTACCTGTGGACACCCTGCCTGCTGCAGTGTCATCCACTTCCTATTCTTTGGTCCCTCATGGGGCTGGTCAGCATCTTCTAACCTAATAGATTTCCTGTCACATAATTGAAGACAAGTTAAGTAATCATAACCATCACTGTAATTACCAATGAGCATCAGAAGGCAATGCCGCCTGGGTGGTGTTTAAAAGAACAGAAAGGAAATGTAAGATCCTCGGGAGAAAAGGCACCCACCCCATGCTTCCCTGACTTCATGTTTCCCTTTGTTCTGCCTCAGAGGTCAGTGCACCCTGGTTTTTCAGCCAAGGAGAAGAGCCAACCATGACAAGCCGTCACTTCCTTGTCCAGAGTAGCTCTTCTGGAAGACCCAGCCACCTGCTGAGATGGAGGGAGTGGTGGTGACAGGCCAAGCTCCATGTTCAGTGAGGCCCAACAGTGCAAGGTGGCAGGAGGGCTCAAGGCTCCCCGCCAGTGGGCTGGCACTGCCACTTTACATGCAAGAGGGAGCAGCTCAACAGCTGTCGCTGACGGCCCCTGGGGTCTGCTCCAGATTTGGCAGAGGAGGACACTTCCAGACTCCCAAATCATCTCTTTGAAATTCAGAACTACACTTTCATCCCTCATGCCTCCCAACAAACACACACAAAAGATAAGCAAGCTCACAGTCTCGTTTACTTATGGGCTTTCTCTACCTAGTCCTCCTCTTTCTCTCTTAGTCTTGCACACACATACTGCAAGTTCCCACTCATTGAATCCCCCCTCTCTCTCTGTCTCTCTCTGTCTCTCTGTTTCTGTCTCTGTCTCTCTCTCTGTCTCACGCATGCACACACACACACACACACACACACACACACACACACACACACACACACACACACACACACACCACTTCTTTCTCTCTCTTACCTCACTGAACTCAGGTGTTGTCTACATTGTACTTTCTGACAGGGTCTGTTACTGGCCTAGAGTTCACCAAGTAGGCTAGGCTGGCCAGCCATGAGCCCCAGGCATATGCTTATCTCCAGTATTGGTTTTACAAGCACATGCCACAACATCTGGCCTTCTTTATATTGGCTCTGAGGATCAAACTTGGGTCCTCATGGTTGCAAGGCAAACACTTTACTGCCTGATGTATCACCCTGGCCCAACCCAAGCATTTTTTTAAAAAAGCAACCCCCCTTATCCTTTGGAGAAGACAAGGCTATCTCATGATGTTGCAATAACGCTTCCCTCAAGGTAACATAGAACAAGGGTCTCTGAGCTCCCACTTGATGACATTTATGAGTTTGGCAGTCATTGGATCATCAGATGAATTTTGTACCGCTTTTCCCAGCCATGGGTACCATATTGCCAAAGCCAGTAAATAGTCATGTTCTAGGGATGAAACGACAGAACATCCCTTGCAGGGCAGCCTAAGCCCATCCTCCCGGCATTTGTCATGCTTCTGGCATTTGAGCTGAGGACATCTCCCACTACAAAATCCTGCCAGAATCCCCAGGGGAAATCAGGACTGTCTTCCTTGCGGAAAGTTGGACATGTGCCGGGAAAGGTCCAGGCCAGGTGGCCTTTATTCCTCCCAGCCCTGGTGAGGAAGCCAGATAAAAATGCACTTTGATGCTTACTGTTGCTTCTCCCTCCATCCTGTAGATTAACCACTTAAACATTTTTGAGGCATTTCTGCTAAATTCCACCATAGATTTTGGTGATTTGAATGGATTGTAAGAGTGCTCAATATAAAAGTTAGCCTCTTACAGCTGAAGCATGAGTCCTGGGAGGAAAGAAAGTGGAGCTTGTTGCCCCTGGTGCAGCCTCCATTGTTTGAAGGATTATGGAGTGAGTCACTGCCCAGGCACAGAACAGTGCTGTGGTGTGAAATACTGGTACTTGAGGTGATGAGTAGAAGCAGAGGGTCACATGTGTCCTAGGGAATGACCTGTTTGGGTGATAACTTTGGTATAGATCACATTAACACATAAAGTCTGTGTCGGTGTGAGTGTAGGACAAACCAAACTGTGCCTTGTTTTTTGTCCCACCCTCACCACTCTGTTTCTTTCTGAGGAATCACTGGCCTTGCCTAGGCTAGACTACTTGAGCCCTTTCATGCTCTCATCTGGATTTTCCTTCTGCAGTGAGTTGGTCTGGCTGGTGACTTGTTCTCTAGTGAAAACAGTAGTTAACATGCAGGCAGTGTGGCATCAGACCTATATGAAGAGGAGCCACTTATGACAAACGTGATGAACAGACTGTGCAGGTGCTCATGACCAGAAGCCCAGAAAGGTTGAGTACTTGCCCTGGTCACACAGGCAGAAGAGGCCAGTACTGGTGTCTAAACTGGTATCCCAGGTTTCAGACCCCCCGCAGCTAGCCTCCATCCTCATTCTCCTGTGTTTTGAGTGTCTATTTTCTGGTCTGCCTCCCCACTATGCATGTCTCTTGATAGCAATATGTATCCTCTCTGGGCAGCTCTTCTCTGAGACCCCAGAACTTCCTCAGATTCTTCCTCAGATATCCCAGGTGCTGTTTGCTCATTTGCTGACTAAGTGATGGAAAAGGTGGATTCCAGCTCTTAGGTTAATGATGACCAGGTCTAGAGGCAAGCTAAGGGCTAAATAGAAAACTGAGTTAGACACATCCAGCATGGTACTCAGGACAGGAAAGGCAGGGCGAGAAACCAAACCAGCCCTTTGGAAACAGGATCTCCTATCTTCCAGATCCTGACTTCTGCTGAAGGGCAGTTGGGATGACCAGCATACAAACAGGCCAGGGACCCTCACACCCAGTGCAACCAGGGCTGTAAGCAGGATGTGGAGCCAGGAAAACCTTCCCTCAGAGATGGAGTACAATACAAACAGGGCCTGAGTTGCAACTGTGACTTTTCAGTAGGAGGGTCCTTAGAGATTATGCCCCTGTCACTCCTTTGGGTTCATTGTATTTCCTCTTGATTCAAATCTGTGGTGTTTCCATTGACATGAGATAAAGACAACCATAACATACACCTCAGGTAGCCAATATGATGTGATTCTAGTGAATTTAGAATGCTTGTACTCTGTCTTTGTACCACCATACCAGCACTAATGATAGAATCAGTGCAGGGTATCAAGGTGGGGCAATGAAATGCCATTGCTGTCATCTACTTCATTTGTGGAATGCCCATGGGGCTAGTATAGGCCTTGCTGGTCCCCTTAGCTCCTCTAAGTAGACCCTCCTTAATGTTTCTTGCTTACTGGTCAAGGAGTTTCTTGGCTGTCCTGATTCACAGGCTGGGGCACTGCAGGGTATGGTGTGGAGTATTTGTGCCTTGTTTCTTTTTACTTCTTTGAACCAAATTTGGTTTCTCCTTCTTCTAGGGAGGAAAGATCCCTGTAAGATGGACAGCTCCAGAGGCCATCGCCTACCGCAAGTTTACATCAGCCAGCGATGTCTGGAGCTATGGGATTGTCATGTGGGAAGTCATGTCATTTGGAGAGAGACCCTACTGGGATATGTCCAATCAAGATGTAAGTATCAGCCACATCTAATTGCTGTAAACGCTCATCCAAGTAGACCTCATGCTGTGAGTGCCAAGGCAATGGGGATCAGAAGGAGGGGCTAGTCTGAAAGCCATGGACTGAGTCCCCATCCTGCACTGCCCATGACAGCTGTGTTGCTCCAAGCAAGTTACAGTTTCTGAAACTTTTAGCATCAGCTTAAAGAGAGGCAGTATAAGGAGCTCCTCTTCCCTGAGAGCCCAGCCTTGGTGGGCCAGCGCTAATGAAAGCAAAGGAAGTGGTGAGAAAGCTTCCCAAGGTGGTCAACTTCAGGCAGGCTGCAGGAGTAGGGCCCTGTCTATGGGGAGGACATCAACCTCCCTCCAGGCCGCCCTCCACGGAGAGGTTGAGAATGGAAGGCAGAAGTCACTAAAGATGCCATAAGTAGAGGCATTTTGGTGATGTTCTTTCTGGATGGGAAATTTGTTTCATAGTAAATAGTGATGATTGGATCTGATAAAATTCCATTCAAAAGTCTTGCGTGGATTTTTATACCACCTTTGACTTAGGCTATCCTCCAAGACTACTCTTCTGTGTTCTGAATGTCTACTCTCCCCTTGGTATCCAGAGGCTTGCGATTTGCAAATCCTGCATGTGTGTGTCTCCTGTTTCTCCTCCCCACCTTCATGGGGACAGTTCTTTTCCAAGGTTATAGGCTGGAAGAGACAGGGCTGTCCCCAGTATAGATCTAATTCATTCAGCTCCTACAGTCATACTGTAAGTGCATCCAAGCCTGGGTGGCCTCCAAGGCACTCCTCAGCTTGTGAAAATTGCCCCCCAGACAGTCTTTATGGATTTTCTCAGAAGACTGAGAAAGGTGGTAGTTTTCCAGCAAAATTATAAGAAAAGGATCTGGAGTGATTGTGGAACAGTACTGGGCACTGGTGTGTGTGGAGTGCTTTAGTTCAGAGCTGATGAAATGACTGCATCCTTAACCAGGTCCTGATGCCAACCATGTGGTGTCTAGGTCCTCTATTATCTGTGATTAGCCACGCCTCGCCTCTGCTCCTGTAGTGTGTCCAATCAGTAAGTGCTGGAGCTGACAGTAACTAGGCTGCTTTTATGAAATCGGCTGCACACAGCTTCCATCTATACTGTCTAAGTGAAAAATGTTAGCCAGACAAAGCAGACCCATCTTGTCCCCACCCAGAGACCTTAATCCGATAAAGAACAATTCAGCTCACATAGAATGGATTACAAAACCAACACTGGAGATTTGACACTTGAGATATTCTCAGGCAATGCATTCACCTGTGCTGAAAACAAATAGAGTTTCTGACATTGGGTTTCAAGAATTCCCCAATCATTCATTCAACACAGTCAACTCTTGCTAATGGTGACTAAAGCATGGCACTTGCTGATTCTACTTTTGAAGGGTTTACAGTCCAGTGGCATATACTGAGGGTTTGGGGAGCATTTAGGAGGAGGGAGGAAGCTTCCTGAATATTTAATATTTGAGTGGAGACTCAGAGGCAATGTGAACATCTGCAAAATAGTCGATAATTCTCATTTTGTTGTATTTTTCTAAAATAAAGCCCCAAGCCATGTCCCAAGTGCAATTTTGCTCCTAATGGAAACAGGAGGTGACATCATGCTCGTTCAGAGGGCCCCTGAGACCTGGCCTTGGGGGAGTCAGGCGGGGCTCCCAGCGACTGGGCTGCAGTCACCCTCACCAGAAAGCATGGAGGTGGTGGCAGTAAAGGATTTTACAGATGACAATTGAAAAGGCTTTAAGGAAGAGAATTGCAGAGGCAAGTCGGAGTGTTGGTAATTGGGCTTCTGGAGCCTAGGAAGATCTTTGAACATGTACAGAGAGTTTGTCAGCCCGAGAGAGCAACTTGGAACTTGTGCTGCTTGGATCTGATTGACAGAGATAATGAGAGTGGCAGTGTCTGTGGAGAGGAGCTGTGGTCTCATTGAAACATCAGAGCTCAACTTAACCCACTCTGCCCTGCTTCTCCACTGCTCTGCACTCCTCCATTTCACTCTCCCCAGTTCAGGGTCGAGTAGGTGCCACCTACCTCCAGCTCACTCACAGGAAACAGGAATTTGGGGACAGCCGAGAACTCAACCAAGATTTTGGGGGGGGCGTGGCTCACTTTCCAGAGAGGCTACAGTCACTTCATATAATCCCTGAAAACACTTGGGACTTTCTGCAGGTTCCTGGGTCCAATTCAACCACAGACCCACCATCTCTGGGATCATGTGAACACAGGGAGTCTCCTAGCTCAACATTTTGGTTAGGCCCTAGGATGTTTAATTACACTGGACTTGCGGGGTGTTCAAGAGTTATAGCAGACCATGCAGTAAGCTCAAATTAAGTTGCCTAGACTGCTTCTCCTATCCACTCCAAGAATTCCCCCCCTTTCCCCTTGAAATGCTTTTTGATCTTACCTAATATTCACTCTTTTGAGGCAGGGTTTCTCTGTAACTCTGGCTGTTCTAGAACATGCTCTGTAGTCCAGACTGGCCTCAAACTCCACTTGCCTTAATATTCATAAACTTCATCCTACTATGAGCCTAGGAAGGGACTTAGAATTCCTCCCAATTGATCTTCATTCCTGTTAGGCAAGATACCCTGGGCTCTGGCCTGAGGTCAAGTCTTCCCATACAATCCAAATGTGGCCACTAGCATTTGTCATTGTTAGACCTGTTGACTGTCTCTCCACACTACTCTCCACATCTATAAGTGAGGTGTGGTGACAGAGAATCATCTCCAAGTTCTAATAGAGGCCTAACAATGTCTTTGATCTAATGATACTTTAATAATCACCATGAGTCATATGTGCTACAAAACTTTAGAAAAGCTCTAGATCCTTAAAAAGAGAATAAAAATCTCCCGAGTGAAATCATCTCAAAGATGAGGACTAGCAGGTAAATGCTGCCCAAACACTGGTAGAGTAAGACCAAGGCTTTTTTTCTTTGAAGTTGAAAGTTGTGTTAGTCAGCTTTCCACTTGTTTAATAAAATACCCAAGAGAAATGATTTTAAAAGAGAAAAATCTATTTAATTTTTATTTTAGACATGTCATACACAATTATCTGACTTCATGGCTTTCAGGACTTTGTGAGATGGAACATCAGGGTAGTGACATGTGACAGAGGAAGGTGTTCATCAACTAGCAGAGTCAGGAAACAAAAAACATGGTATAGAAGGCAGGTTGTCAATATTCCATTGAAGGGCATGTCTTCAGTGATGTACTCTTTTCCTAGCTATGTGACATTTCTGGAAGGTTATACCTCCTCCCTCTAGTATCATAGGCTACTGAACAAGCCTTGAACACATGGCCATTGCAGATATCATGAGAAGAGTGTTACAGTTTGAATGTGAAATGTTCTGCATAGGTTCATGTTTTTCTTCACTTGGTTTTCAGATGGTGGTGCTGGTTTGGGTGCATATGGAATCTTCAAGAGCTGAGGCCTATCTAAAGGAAATAGCTCACTAGAAAACAGGCCTTGAGGGTCATAGGCCTTCTGGTCCAAGCTCTCTGCTTCCTGGGTGGCACAATGTAGCAAGCAACAACTGATTTTGTGCTTTGTCATGACTTTCCTGCTATAGTAGACCCTAACTCAATGGACCTGTGAGCCAAAATAGCTCCTCCTGTCCTCTCTTAGCCATGAGGAATGTAACTAGCACAAAGTGTAAAGACTTTAGAAACATACATGCTTGGGTATCAACTTGGGTAACAGCAACAGAATCATCTAAAGGAAATAGCTGATGGAGTGAAGTCCCACTTAGTAAGCATGAATATAGGAAGAGAGTTCCCATGGTTGTCATCTATAGGAAAAGGTGAGAAATGGGATATGATTTAAAGCTCATGGGCAGAAGATTTGGCACACACATGGATTCCATCTTCTTGGTGCCCTGTCTGGAGTGCTTGGGTCCACAGTGCAGCACAGTGAAGTGCTCCTCCACAGTGCTCCTCAGCACTATTCCGCTGAGAGGAGTTGACTTGCTTGTGGGGAAAATTGGTTTGTCCAGTAGTGCCAGGAGTTTAGAGGAACCAATGCCTTCCACTACCTTGCAAGAAAGACTTTGGAGTCCCTAAACCCCATGGAACATAGAACTTGGACTCTAGGCCCTCCTACTGGCCACACCTAGCTTGACCTTAGATGACCCAGAGAGCAACTCTGAGCACTCACTGGACCATCCCACTTGTGTCCACAATGAGTGGAGACTCCATGCCCCTCAATCTGGCTGCTTGTAAGGAGTTAGAAAATGGCATATTGTCAGTGAGCCAGGCTAATGGGAACAATGTCAAGTCACTGGTTCTCATGGATCCCTTTGCTCCACTGTGTTTCAGCCCATGGATACCCCAAAGGCTCCAGCAGAGTGTTGTGGCCCCTAGGGTTAGATCATAGACACCTTACAGCTAGGTATCCTGTGTAATGTTAGCTGCAGTCTATTGCTCACCACATGCTTCAGGCACATTTTCTTCATGGGGAAAAGAGGGCCATAATGTCCTCCAAAGAGGCTAGAACAGAATTTGACTGACAACAGGTTGGAGGAGATAAAAATTATCTAGGGCTATACACGCCTCAAAAGACAGTGTTCCCAGTCACTCATCATTTTACACAGTAGTGGCACTAATGTGAGGTATATGTTCATTTTTCATCATATTAAAAGGAAAAAATAACACACTGATTATCTCTAGTAACCTCAGGTAAAACTGCCTCATGCTGTATGTACCATCCTTACAAACTGTAAAAATATAAGCCGATTGAGAACATTCACTGTTTGACCAATTTACAAGGTCAGAAAGAAAAGAACAATCAGTTGACAATAACTGGATTTTTTTTTAAATTGAGGTAAAAATACCAGAAAATCATCGAACTCCAAATAATTTCCTTTGCTGTTTAAGGTGATTCACATGTTTAATATAAAATCAATGCATAATTATTATAGACAATTAAATACAAACAAACAAGATGAAAAACACAAAGAACATCTGTATTCCTCCCTGCCCAGAGGTGGCTGCGATTTACCCCACAGTGTATATCCAACCAAGGCTGCCATGCAGTTACTGGGCTCAGTTTTGTAATGACTTTTTTTTTTTTATGAAATCAAGACTATGTTGTACAGTTAGACTTCCCACCCTTTTGCCTGATATGGTAGTGGGAGCTGATTTCCATTTCAACAGCTATATCACTTTAAAGGCTAGTTAGGTGCCTCGCTTTCTGTTGTTTTGTAAGTACGCCCTCATGCAATCATACAGTTAGCACTTGGGTCGTTTATGATTTTTTTTCTAATACAAAAAGTACATAGCAGGCAAAATTGACTTACGTGAGTTGAGAATTAAGAAGTACAGTGTGAAAACACACACAAATCTGAAAAAATAACCTCCTGAAATGTCTCAAAAATTTTACAAAGTTCTTTTTTTTTTTTTTCACCAGAAGGCATGGAAAGCACCCACACTGGATTAGAGATTTTCACTCACTTTGTGAAGCCACCTTGCTTTGGGGGCTGTTGTTACCTACTGAAGAGTTTGTTTGCCTTAACCTCCAGTCCTTGCCATGTTGCTGTCTCAGGAGACTTAGGGCAGCCTCGCACAGAAAGCATCTGAGGGGGCCAGGCATGGAGTGGGACCTGCAATGCTGATTCATCTCCTCCCTTTCCTTCCCTCAGGACTGAAAGAATGGGGTCATCTCAGGCTCTTGGAGCATATTTATAAATAACTAGTTCACCAAGTTTCTGAAAAACATCTGTCACTGCTGTTTAGTACCAGCTTTCAGGAAGGCAGATTTGAGCCCCAGACCTTCTGGTTTCTTTGTTTTGTAGACAAAGTCTTCTTATATAGCCCAGGTTAGCCCAGAACTCAGAATCCTCCTCCTATCTCAGCCTTTCAGTTGCTGGGATTACAAAAGTGTGACCCACCATGCCTAACTCCTATGCCTTCCCTATGTGTGTGTTTTGTGTGTTCACATGTGCACATACAGGTGTGCACATATGATAGTGATAGAGCCCTCAGGTGTCAGAAACATTGGATCTCTCTGGAGCCGGAGTTCTGGAGCTACAGACCATTGTGAGCAGCACAATATAGGCGCTGGGAATCAAACCCATTCCCCTGCAAGAACACTGCACACTCTTTACCACTGGAGTCATCTTTTCCATCCTACCTTCTATTCTGAAAACCTATTTATTTGTATTTGTGTATGTTTGTCTATCTGTATGTGCACCATGGGCGGGCAGTAATTGAAGAATCTAGAAAAGAGATCATATCCCATGGGATTGGAGTTACAAATATTTGAGAGCTGCCTGATAACGGGCACTGGCAACCAAATCTGGGTCTCCTGCAAGACCAGCAAGTGCTTTTAAGCAATGGGCTACCTCTCCAGCCCACAGACCCTCTTGTTCTTAAACAAACATTTACAGAGACTCAATTGTACCAGGCCCTGTGCCAGGTGCAGGGGACACAGAGGTACAAGATCTGGTCCCTACTTCCTAGGTAGGAAAACAAGGATGACAACAAATCACACAGTGGGAGATATATGGTGACCAATGAAGGCACCTATGCCAACCTGGCTGGAAGAGATTCTATCTTTGCTAATGATAACACCTTTCCTAGTGACATTGATTCTTGTTTGACACTACAGGTCATCAATGCCATTGAGCAGGACTACCGGCTCCCCCCTCCTATGGACTGCCCAGCTGCCCTGCACCAGCTCATGCTGGACTGTTGGCAGAAGGACCGAAATAGCCGGCCCCGTTTTGCAGAGATTGTCAACACCCTGGACAAGATGATCCGGAACCCAGCTAGTCTCAAGACTGTGGCAACCATCACCGCTGTGTGAGTCTAGTGAAGCAGGGTAATGCCTAGATGTGGTTGTTCTCATGGCCAGGGGCATGGCTGGCAGCCTTTGCTCTGTTGGGAGCAAAGTCGGAGTGGCACAGATTGTCTGCTAATGGAAGACATTCCCTGAATTTTGCCTTGTTTTTATCCTCCCTCCCTCTAAAATATATTCCCTGTGTGTATTGTGAGCAAGTATTCTGAGACCTGGTCAGGTTTCTCCCATCTGTTGGCACCTGTGGACTCTCCAACTATTTCTAGATGATCTTGTTTGCAGGAGGTACCTTTGTGTTAACTGCACTGATTGTCTAGGCTAGTGTAGCTGTAGGCTTGAAGGTTTTGCCAACAGTTACATAGGTAAAGACTCAATTGCTGTGGAACAAAAAAAAATACAAGGCATATTCATTTGATATGAATGGATGCACAAAACAGCTGTCAGGTACAGTGTCTGCTGTGATTCACTTAGATATATTTGCATGAACTCATCTGTTAATTTCTCTTTTCTACCAAAATGTAGGTGGCTACAGGCCAGTCTTTGTACCCAGTTCTGATTCTATACAACAAGTAGGATAAAGTCCTTGCCATTGTGGAGTTTAAAATAATGTAGGAACAGCAGACATTAATCCAATGATCATAAAAATATGTAAAATTGAGATCTTAACGGCTGACATGGCAGGGTCCTATGCAGAGTACCCAGAGCGCACACCTCCAGTTGCAATGAGAAGTTATCCGGTGATGCTATTACAGATGATATGTGAAGGGCCAGAGTGCACTCACTAGATGAGCATGCAGATTGGAGCAAAGGGCAATTGTTCAGCCTGGGAGGAGAGTCAGAGAAGCTCAGGGCCAATTGCTAAGTATAAAGTTGAAGTAGCTGGTGAGGTGGGCAGAAATAAGGTCACTCAGTGTCCTTAGGTTGTATTGGACATGACCTTCATTTTCAGAACAACAAACACCTATTGAAGGGTTTGGCATGTATATTGGTCAAGGAGAGAGCTTTGATGTGATTTTTCTGTATTTCGAAAAGCGTATATGGCTGCAGTGTGGGCCTTGTAAAGGAGAGCTCAAGAGAATACCTTAAAGAGGGTAATGCCGTGCGAAGATACTGGAAATAAACTCTTGTGGCCTACAGGGAAATTGTGTGTGAAACTGGAGTGATGTAAAGATAGCTAACATCAAAATTGCTGGTTCAGTTCCCTGTGTGTCTACCTGCAATCTGTTCAGAGAAGGGCAGTTGTGGCTCAGCTGTTTCATGCCATGCCTTTCAGATAGCAGGAAAAAGAAACTATTGCCAGCCGATTTGTCGAGGCTGTACACATCTTTTACAGGATCACATCTTCCGTGAGGTCACCTGCTCCTTTCTGTCTCGCCAGGCCTTCCCAACCCCTGCTTGACCGCTCTATCCCAGACTTCACGGCCTTTACCACCGTGGATGACTGGCTGAGTGCCATCAAAATGGTCCAGTATAGGGACAGCTTCCTCACCGCTGGCTTCACCTCCCTCCAACTGGTCACCCAGATGACGTCAGAGTAAGTGAAGAGACCCTCCTTTGTCCAGCCCAGATCTAGGTGTTCAGGCCCCTTCCCTGCTACTGAAGAAGGTGTGGGTCAAAGCTGGTTCTACACAGACTTGTGAGTCTGTGCTTCAGTAAGATGAAGGTGGGAGAAGGAGGGGACTGAGGTTGCTGGTACAGATGTATTCCGGGTCCTGGATAGAGTTCTTCATAGTCATGGCCATGTGCCATTGGTCTAATCATCAGGTCTCTTCCCATTTAAGTTTATAAATTCAGCCCACCAAAGAGAGCATCCAGATGGAAGGGAAGAACATAGCAGCCACCACTTTTAGACAGAGTCACAGGCAGGGGATGGCACTGACTCAGCATCTACTGAGGCTATGTGGGGCCGGGCGTCATCCTCACACTGGGACAACCCTTGTAAACACAACCATTTCCACCCCCTCACATTGCTTACCAGTCTGCTGCTCCCACAGGAGTGTGGAGGAATACACAAAATAAAATTATTCAAATAAGATGAGAGCTAGACAGGTTCTTAAAGATCCATGTGCTTCATCGTTTCCCCCAAAACGTTTCGAGCAGCACCACTTGTGGGAAATGTTAATAGGTTCTCCTTGGAAAAAAAAGGTCCCATGGTCAAATAAATTTGGGAAATACTACACACTTTATCATCCTTTCGGAGATTCACTGCTCACATTAGCATTATAAAGGCCATGAGAAACCCTGAAATAAAGAAGCCCATTTCAAATTATTAAATACCATAGAACCATAGTTTTGAGGGACAGGTTTGTATGGAACTGCAGTTTGGGAAATATTTATCTAGCTCCAATCTTTCCAGATTTTGAAGTAGTTGACACATGAGGCAAGTTGGAACACAAGGCTGCTTTGCCAGCTGCTGGTTCAAAATGCATTAACCACCTACCCCACAATTCCCCTCTAAGGACTAAAAGAGGTCTCAGCTTTTGCTGCCCACTGGAGCAGTTGGGAATCTTTAAGAAGTACAGAAGCCTAAGCCTGGAGATGAGGCTCAGCCAGTAGAGTATTGCCTCACATTCATGAAGCCCTGGGTTCAACCTCCAGTGCTGTATAACCTGGGGATGGTGGTGCAAGTCTATAATCCCAGCACTTGAGAGGTAGAGGCAAGGGGATCAGAAATCCAAGGTTTTCTTCAGTTACCATACCAAGTTCCAAGCCAGCCTGGACTACAAAGGACCAAAGTACTGATGCCACCTGCAAGCTTCTGATTAATTGCTATGTGATGAGAGCAGGGCTTAGGGGACTCAGTGTTCCCCAGGTGGATTCTGACATGTGACAAAGGTTGGGAAACACACGAAGGACCAGGCCCAAAGTTTGCTTTTGCCTTCTGTACTCAAATAATCCAATCAATCCTACACACACACACACACACACACACACACACACACTCACTCACACTCACACATGTACCTGAACTACAATGCACACTGACAGCATCAGAGTGGACTCTGGAAATCTGTGATACACATCTCCTATGGTGGAGGACCCATCAGTCCAGCAGGCAGCTGACACAGGTTAACTGGTCACCTGTTATGTGTTAGGCACAATGCTGGGCATTGGGGTTTTCTTATGACCAGGCCAGTTGTTGCATCTGGGAAAGAAGAGTGGAGATCCAGTCCTAGCTTTGTACTCCAGTGAAGATGGACAGATTCTAACACTGACTGCTTGCGGCCCCTACCTGGAGTCAGACTTTATCACTGTGAGGTTTATTCTTATCCTAAATGACAGAGCCTGGGTTTTCTCCAGGGAGTGGATTGAAGAATGTGCATCTCCATTTGAATCCACTAAATAGCAGCGTATGTTAGATAAAGGTCCATTTCCAGGTGGCCCCTAAAAGAGACAGCCCTACACATTTGAATGACTGCCAATTGGATCCCACAAAACTAAAAGAAAAAAGTTTAAAAAAAGAGCCAGCCTTCCCATCCTGCAGAGCATAGAGGGGATGCTTCTGGGTGATCAGAGGGCCTAGGTGTAGGTGTTCATGGAGTCAGGGCCACTCCACTTTTTTTTTTTTTTTTGACATGATTTCCCTCCTCCCCTCCATAACTGAACGAGTCAAATAAAGCTGTCCCTTCAGTCTGGGGAAAGTCACAGAAAAAAGGAACAAGGTGAGGATTAAAAGGAAAGTCAAACTGAAAATTAAGGGATTTAGTTCAAAGTAAAACACAGCCACACAGTACTGGAGCAATTCAGTTTGTTTCTTGAGAGATGAAAGATGGAGGAAAAAAAAGAAAATGAGCAACTCGATAAAATAGATGGTGGGGCAATTTGTGAATTCAAAATTCAAGCATGCTTCCCTGAAGTATTTGCTATAAAAGACACAGGCAATTTGCCTATCTCAAGCAGCTGCAACCTCAGGAGAGATGGACTACTGCTAACATGGGGGGGAGCGCAGCAGGGGGAGGCATAGAACAAAGGCGTTGTGGATACAGACCCAACCCAGGGACTGCCAGGGTGTGCAGTGTACAAAAAAAGCCTGTGGGTGCAAGGGCTGGGGAGCATGGAAGAAATAATCAGTACCATAGAAGAGTTTGAAAGGCTTGTTAGGGAGGCTAGGAACCACGTGCTGTCATATTTGAATTGTACTCCTCTCACTGCTTACCTGCTGGGTGATATTCAGTGCTTTACTTCTTTGAATGACGTTGCCTTGTGTGTACGTGCACATGTAAGACTAGTGCCCACGCCATTGGTTTGTAGAGAGACAAATGGAAGAGCATGCACTAACAAGCATGCGTTAGGCCCATCGCCTGCTCAGAAAACCTGGTTGCTGTTAAACTTACTGTCTGTGACTGCAGCTTCTCAGTGACCAAGAGACAAATGCATCCCTGAAGGTTTAGATAGGATAATATATAGCACACAGTATGCATTTAGGCAGTAGTCTATATTGTTATCAGCTAAGAAAAGATGCATGGGTCTCCTTGAGGTCAAATTTAGGCCACGAACTTGTTCATAATCCTTCTCACAGCTCATAGATGAAGCCAACCTGAACCTCTATCCCAAGATATATTCTTTGGATTCTTACTTAGGCAGATATTTTAAAGTTATTTTAAGATCACCCTTCTTAAAAATGCATGGCATTAAAATTCAAACAGAGTCAGAGATTGGAAGCTCAGGGGGAAACATCAGAAGCCCAGGCAAGCCCCATAGCTTTTCAATCTCAGTGGGTGTTCATTAATTTAGGCAGAAAGCTCCACAAAATAACCAAAGCCCCATAGAGTGTGCACTGGGAGAGTCAGACAGAGAGCAGAGGAAAATTCCAGTCCACCTTAGGGTCATGGCCTCCATGAAGTGGCTGCTTCTGGGTCTGTGGGTGAGGAATAGCATGGCTCATGAAGTTTGTGGGGGACAGGAGGGGTGCACAGAAAACATGAGTTTGGGCAGGGTAATATAACTGGGTGCTGGGGGTAGGGGTGAAGGATCTCTCAGAAGGATATCTTTCTGGTCAAGCATGAGGGCCTGAGATTTATGTCCAGAATCATGGTAAAAGAAGCTGGGTAAGGGCATTCACTTACAGTCCTAGGACTAGGGAAGGAGAGACAGGGAGATCCCTTAGGCTCACTGGCCAGCCACACTGTCATGATTGGCATGCCCCAGGTTAGTCAGTGAGAGGCAATCTCATAAAAACAACACTTAAAACAGAGTAATGATGACTAAGGAATAACACTCAAGGCTAGCCTCTGGCCTCCATATACATGTACATATATGTGCATACACCCCCCACTGGAGACTCATATACATTTGCACATATACAAAGTAAAAGAAAATCTGTATTCATGTTATTGCTAAATACTTGGCCTAATTTCACTTAAGATTCTGGGATTTTTAGCACATTTTTATGGCCACCCTACTAGTTTTTAGGAGCATGCCTTTGGTGAAAAACTCAAGCTGTGAAAGACTGTCCTAACTCTAACATTGACTTCTTTGCCGTTCTAGAGACCTCCTGAGAATAGGGGTCACCTTGGCAGGCCACCAGAAGAAGATTCTGAGCAGCATCCATTCGATGAGGGTCCAGATGAGTCAGTCACCATCGGTAATGGCATGAGAACACTTGCATTCATAGGGGAGGAGAGGAAGGAAAAGGACCAGGGTCAAAGGGAAACAAGAGGTTGACCACTGTGGAATGTGCAAGAAAGATCAGCTTTGGGGCTGGGAAACAACTTTCCATCTGTGAAGAATGAACTGGACCCGTTGCTCAAGGGCAATCAACGTTTCTACGCAACAGAAGCAAGTAGATGCCGTGGGAAACCAGACACGTAATAATAAAGATAGAGAAAGGTGATGCTTAACACAAGTGAAGCTGAAACCATATGCATTGGAAACCGAGGTGAACTCAACTCCTATCCAAGGGGGACTGGAGTTACCTGTCTTCAGGAAGAAGGGAAGGAGGTGGAGGGATGAGACACAAGCCTCGGGCTGTTCCATCTTCACCCTCACCAATGATGTTCTTTTCTTTTCTCCTTTTGTACTCCTCCCTGAGAGTCCCTCCTCCTCCCCCACATCCATTTCCCTTTGCTCATGACTCGTGTAGGGAAGTTTCTTCGAATAAAACCCAGCTCCTGAGTCTCCAGATGTCGTTCTGTCAGTTGCCAAAGGACTTTGCTGACCACTACTGCATGGGGATCCAACCAATTCAATTAATGTCTTCATATTGAAGAAGAGATGTACCTTCAATTGAAAACCTTGTTTTTCTTTTGTTTGCATTTTCTGCAAAAAGGAAAAAAAGAAACCACAAATTGGAAAAATAATAGAAAAACCTGTTTCCGTGTGCAAGCGCACACGTATGTGTGTCTGCGTTATAAAACGACTGTGCTTGTTCGTGACAGATGCAAACAAGAAAAAAGAATTGGGGAAGTTTTGGCCCTAGGAGGCTTCAGGGGGCTGGAATTCGCAGTTGGCCTGGCTTTCTGTTTGGCCCACTGGCCACTTGGCTCATGGGAAGAGAAAAGAGTGGGGCAGGGAACTCAAATGAAAGGAAACATTAAAAAAAAAGTCTCTGAAGAGTTTGCAAATTAAGACAGGAAACAGGTGAGTGGTTTGGATTGGATGCAGTGTGGGCCGTTGTAGAATGATGCTGACGAAGAGTTACTGTTGATAAGATCTGAAGAAAAGAAGAAGGAAAGGATTTCTGGAGAATGTTCTTCCACATCCCGGGAACCAGCGATTTTAGAGGTGGCAAGGGAGAATCCTGGCCTGTGGACTGGCTAACGCCATGTGACATCCGAGGAATGTCTCTGTCGTGTCTGTGTTTCTCTTTACATTCCTTCTTGTACCTCATTGTTCATTGTTTGATTCACTTTTGTAAATTCCACCTAACATTTAAATATTTTTAATTTCTCCTTTTACCTTAATCTCCTTGCTAATTTTATCTGTCTAATTAAAAAGAGCAGAAGCATGTCTGGGTTTATGTAAGATGTTGTCAGAGTATGTGTCCCTGGACCCTGATGTTAGCTCACACACTATACTAAGAAGTTGATGTCCAAACTTTAGACTGCTCGCTATTGTTATGTCTGTAAACACGCAGCTCGGGAGATGTGTGGACTCAGCAGGGACCTTGGTTCCAAACTTAATCCATATTTAAGGCTGTGCAAGCCTTTTCCTCTAGGCCTAGGTAACTGATTTGGGATTATCCTAGTTTCATTTCTGTTGCTGTGATAAAATATCATGGCAAAAGGCAGCCCAAGAGAGAAAGGCTTATTAGACTTTCATTTCCAGGTGATAATCCATTACTGCAGGCAAGTCAAAAAGCATCAGGAACTTGAATCAGGTGGTCATGTCATGTGACAACCACAGTTGAGAGCAGAGAGAAAATGCATGTATGCATGCTCACTCCTTTGTGCTCAGTGGCCTTTCTACTGTTTACAGTCCCTGGATCCAAAGTCAGTGATGGTGCAGCCCATGGTGGGCTGAGTCTTCTCTCATCAATTAAAAAAGTTAAGGCAATTCCCCTTAGAAATGCTCACAAACCAACCTGATCTAGGCAAACCTCAATGAGACTCACATCCCTGGAGATTCTAGGTTGTTCCAAGTTCAGAATTAAAACTGTCACAGCGAGAGTTTTGGCCTTGAGTTACCAGCTCTGGACTAGCAAGAAGCTCCTTTAAAGAGGTTCATAGCTTGAAGATGCAGCTACCTCCCAGGTGAGCTTACCTTAAAGCACTGCTATTAAAGTTGACCCCTGAAGGATGGGAGAAGCTGAGGAGGGAGAGCACCCTTCAACAGATTCCTATGTCTTCTGCAGAGGACTCCAGTTCAGCCAGGAGGGTGGAAGACAAAATCTCCCCTGCTTCACTGATTAACAATTACATGCACAGTTTACTAATTATCCCCGAAGACTTCAGTCCATGAGTGTCTCCCAAGCCTAAGCCATATGACCATATGAGTTTTGATTTGTCCCCACATTCTTTAGGCAGCCTCTCTAGCACTATCAGTGCCAGCCTACATTCTTCCTGTGATCAAGGCAGGGTTAACATGAAGTTTGTGTCAAGCTCTTTACTTTGTTTGGTGTTAGCATGAAGTCTCAGTGCACACAGAAGAAAACAGGAGGGGACTGCAGAGCCCAGGAAGGAGGCACAGTTCTCAGTGTCACTGATATGAACACAGTCTCAACAACTTCAGACCTGCCCTGCAGACTCCTTACCTGGTGTCCCAGTCAAAACTGCCCAACACTACCCCAACCAACAGAGAGCTGTAAGTAGGAAGGGGTCTAAGGAATGTCACTAACAAGCAGTCAAGACAGGCATTTATTTTGCATGCTTTATATATCTGAGTTCTCTTCCTCACCCAAAATTGTAAAGTTACAGCAGATCCTGCTTGTTCCCATTGTCAGACTCAGGCTCTCAGGAACAAAGTCAATGAAGTCAATATTTAACCTGGACATTTGATCCTACTCCTCACCATTGCCCCAGTGGGATGTTACATCACCTGGGAGGGGTGTACTCACAGGTCACAGAGCCCATGTTTGGGCTTTTAAATTGTAGGCATGGAGTAGAACCTAGAACTTGAATATCTTATGAATGGTTCTGTTGCTGCTGACCCAGGGACCACACTGTGGAAACCTCTGCACTACATTAACCTTCTTTCTTGAGGATTTATAGTGTTCTGTGTGAAGATACTGCAGGAAATGATAGCTGCTGGGGTTCTTGAGGTTTCCTGAAAGATGGGCATGAACCCTCACACTCTTGGTATGAAGTGATAGGAATGACTGGCAGACAGAGCATTCTGCAGAGAGGTGTCTCTGGACATTGGGTTCAGGGGACTTCCTTCTCAACTTTCAAAGAGTTCCCTTGGAAGGATACTTAATAGCAGTGAGAGTCTATGCTAGGTTTCAGTTGCATGTACTGCCTCGCTATCATTCAGCTGAGACATTTTTGTGTGTGGGATTGCTGGTAATAGAACCCAGGACAAGCACTCTTCTAACTGAACCACATTCTTGGCTCAAGAGTTCCACTTTTTTAATACTATATTTTAATTTATTGAGAACTTCATATATGTATATAATGTATTTTGTGAAACTATCTATGTCTCACTTTCTCCTCCAAGTCCTCCTGAGACCTCCAACACATCCCCCCTCCCAATTTTTTGTTCTCTTTATTTTTATAACCAACCGAGCCCATAAGCTGCATAGATATAGAGCCACGCCTTGGTCCTTAGGCAACCTACCAGTGGTCATATCCTTAAAGAAAAATGACTCTCTCCCAGCATCCACCAACTGCTCATATCTCCTCAGCTATGGGTGGGGGCTTATGAACCCCTCCCTCAACCATGCTGGGATGTTGGCTAGCTTGATCTTGTGCAGTGCAGCTGCTGAGTTCATGAATATGTCCCATGACGCATCCAGAGCTTGAACTATATGTAGTGATTTGTGAGCTGCAAAGACAAGGTGACAGGATGCAACCTCACCGAGTAGCCCGGGGTGTGGTTCAAATGAAGTAGACAACCAAGAGTCAGCAGGTGTGGTTCACCAATGGCAGGTGGACCAGGGGTTACAGAAATGGAGATGGCTTATGTGGGGAAGCCTTAGAGACACTCACCTCCTCCTCCTCCTTCTCCTCCTCCTTCCTCCCTTCTCTCTCTCTCTCTCTCTCTCTCTCTCTCTCTCTCTCTCTGCCACTCCAACACTCACAGAAAGGAATGAAGACTCATGAAGAGGACAGAGAGAACAGTGTCTATGGAGACATAAGATTCTAGGAACACTAGAGTGAGGGTCAGTGACGCAGAGGACAAGAGGGAAAAACTACACTGTTAATAAGAAATGCAAGCTCCTGGTAGCTTTCTCTGTTCTAAGAGGCTCTTCGTGGAGTAACCTAGGGGTTTCATCATTTGAAAATGACTGTCACCAACTGGCTAAGTCCCTTGCAAATGAAGTAAAGGGAAGGCTGCAATGGAGCTGAGAAGTACATAGGCACCATCCAGAATTCTCAAGGACCCAATACCCAAAAGAGGTCAGGAGATTCCCAGAAGACTGCAACATAACCTACACATAGAAGTCACGGGGCTGTTTTCAAAAACAGACAGGTTTGTGTCTCCCCAGATACCAGTGAGGTTTGCAGGCAGTGCTAGAGCAGAATCCCCAGGGTTACAGAAAGGTGGTCAAATGGTGAAGAGGATATGTGGGTCATGCTGGAAGATAATACAAGGTTTGAGATCCATGGCATCTGTGTTCACCACTACCGAGTCTTGGGAGACCAGCAAGAGATCTGAGGACAAAGCGAGGCTCTGGTAGAGCTCAGGCATCAGAGCAAGGATGATGGGGATGAATAGTAGGGGATGGGCAGCTACTGCCCAGCTGGGAAAGAGACCCCTCATACCCTGCAGCTCTCTGAATTTGCCTTATTACAACGGCCCTGGAGTGGTCTCAACTTATTGAGAGTCACAACTTAGAACACCACAATTCCTGGCAATTCCCAAGTGAAAGAGGACACAGGACAAGTTGTCCTTGCCTTGGTGCTATCTGTTAGCATGTCACCTGGCTTGTGGGAAGTACTAGAATTTTTGGTGCCTGAAACAAGTTCAAACTGAAAAAGTTTAGTAAGTCATTACTTC